ATTTATTACTTTACAGGGAAAACCCTTGAATCGATGAGGCATAGATTAAAAATGGAAATCGTAGTGACTGACAGGCGATTACAGAAACTTATAAACAAATCAACGTTCAAAAGCCGTAACCAGCCAGGTTTAATACAACAGATTTTGAATCATTATTGCAAAAAGAAAATAATAGCGATAATGAATCAAACACTCGTATTATTCACCATCATGATGTCATGAGTTATTGCTATTATGTTAAACCGAGTGATGATATACCTAAAGAATTGTTAGAAAAATATGATATTGAGACGGGCCCCGTCGTGTGCAGAGGTGATTCAAGTTTTAGCAAAGGTGACGTTGCAAAAAAAGTTTTTGCAAGAAATTGTACAAGTAGGTTTCAAAATAGAAAAGCTGTTAAACACAAACATAGGGCTTATAATGAACGAAAATGAAAATAGATTACACCGTGATATCGCTGATCGAGAGACGTGTTCGCTGTGTAAAGGTAAATTTAAGAGCAACAATTTACCTGTAAGAGACCACAACCATTTAACTGGAAAATACAGAGGAACTACATGCAGTAAATGTAATTTATAAATAATAAAACCTAATTTTGTACCATGTTTTTTTCATAACCTCTCGGGTTATGACTTGCATTTTTTAGTTACACAGTTAGGTTTTGACAACCAGTCGATTAGCGTAATACCAAACTCAGAAGAAAAATTTATTTTATTTACAAAATATATTACAAATCGATTTCAAATTCAATTCGTGGATACTTGTAGATTTATGGCTCCTAGTTTTGAAAAACTGGTTGGTAATTTACCTCAATGTGATTTAATCCGGTGAATAAATTAAAAAACGAGATCACTAGTCGTAAAAACATAGACGTACGACTGCAAGATCCACCGAATAAAGTTAAAAACCAGATTACCAGTCGTCAAACCATGGTGAAACGATTGCAAGACCCTGTGAATAGAAAAAAACACCAGATCACTTGTCGGAAAAATATGGACAAACGATTGCAAGATCTGGCGAATAAACTTAAAAACCAGATCACCAGTCGTTTAAACATGGACAAACAATTGCAAGATCCGGCGAATTAAGTTAAAAACCAGATTGCCAGTGAAATAAACAGATCAAAAAGACTGAAAAATTCAGTTTTCAAAAATACATATAAAATAAAGAACTCTTGAAACATGAAGAAGAGAAGAATACCATCTGATAGTAGTCTTCTGCAAAATATATCTAGTAAAAGAAAAACACCAAATTCTACATCATATAAAAGAAGAGAACGGCAGAAATTAAATGAAACCAGGCAGAGGGAAGATGTTTTATTTTCTGAATATATTTTGAAAAGGTCACAAGGTTTATCAGAAAAATGTTATTCGTGCCATCGATTACGTTTCCCATGTAGTGTCAATAAGTGCAACTCCGATCTTCTCAGGCGATTAGGGATGTAAATTCCAAGTGATGTCAAGAGTAGTGTACAGGTATGCACAAGTTGTCATCCGCATATGAAGAAATCAAAAATTCTTCCATTGTACATATGAAATGGTTTTGAGTTGAACAGTGTTCCACCTTCAGTTACTCAACTAAATCAATTTGAAAAGCAGATGGTTTCACTTAGATTACCATTTATGAAAATATTCAAATGTCTCCGCAGTGACGGACAGCTAAAAATCAAAGGCAACGTTATCAATGTTCAGATAGATCTCACTAAGACTACATCTATTTTGCCCAGACGTGCCGACAATTTAGCAGCGGTTAAAATGATAAAAGTTAAATTGAAAAGAAAATCATGTTTTAAACAACATTATCTTTATCAAAATGTTAGACCGTCGTTAGTAGTAGCAGCATTGCAAGATTTGATTAAAAAACCACTGTATAAAGATGCTGAAATAGACAGAGTTTGGTCGGCTCATGTCACAGAAACCACCAAGAGTATGGAAAATAGTTCGGATCTCGAAAGCGAAGGAACTGATGATGAAGATACAAATATCAAACCAATCAATCCGGGAACAATGGATGATTGAAAACTGCGATTTCGTCTCTTTTGCTCCAGGTGAAGGCATGAAACCGTTGTTCTATTCCGTTAAACCTATTCTCATTGATGATCAAGCGGAAGAAAAAGCGTTTCCCAATTTGTTTGGAGGACATCCACGCACTAATAAATCACCTCTAAAGAATTATTCAAAAGTAGTAAGATCTGAACTGCTGAACGTAGATCGAAGATTTGCATCAGACTCTTCTAACTTATTTTTCAAATGCAAAGTATTAGTTCAAAAATTAATCGCTAGTAATGTGCAAATTGTTTTACGAAAAAATAAAAAAGGAAACACAACTGTTAATGACGTAGCAAATCCAGAAGTCTTAAAAATAAAATGATAGATAACGATCAAGGATACCGAATGCTACACAACGCACAAAACTCACCGTCATATCTAGCTGCAATGATTAAAACCGTTTTCGCTATGGTGCGTCAAAAAGGGCAACCGACATTATTAATAATATTTAGCCCTTGTGAATCAACTTGGATTGATTTATTGAAAATTCTATACAAGCTGCGTTACTCCAAAACTTTATCTGACGATACTGAACTAACTTATGCTAAAAAATCAGGTTTAATTCGACAAGATCCTGTTGTTTGTGCTTCTTTTTTTGACCACAGGTTTAGATCCCTGTTCAAATTGATTAAATCAAAAAATGTAATTTTTAAAGAACACTTCTTAACCGGGTCGAATACCAACATAGAGGAAATCCACATGTACATATACTATTGTGGTTAGACAATTCACCTGTTTTCGATCCAGTTAAACCGGAAACTTTTGGTGCCTGTGTAACGCTAATTAACAAATACATCAAGTGTATGGTAGACGATAGCAGTCCTGCACATGAGTATTTACATAAAAATACTCATAAATATACACACACTTGTTACAGGACTGACAAAGATAAACAAATGAAAAAGTGTCGCTTCAACATACCATATCCACCGATGAATGAAACCTGCATATTGACTCCGCTAACAGCTGACAACAGTAATGCAATCACAAGACAAATTCGTATATAACAATATGAAAAACTTTTGCAATATCTCAGAGACTTCAAAGACTGTGACACATCTTCAGATCCGTCATTAGAAGATAGTTTACAAAAATTATCAATATCAGATGTTAATGAATATAAATCCATTTTCGAACTGTTATCAAACGATCCATAAAACAAAGAATGATTTCTGGATTCAATGAGGAATTATTTTCGCTGTGACAATCTAATATGGACATACAGTTTATATTGGATGTTTAATCTTGTGTCAGATATGTAATAGAGTACGATTTATTGGAAAAAAGTCAACGTGGAATATCAAAGTTAATGAGGAACATTGTCGAGAATCTCAAGTCCACTGATATATATGTCAAAGAATAACTGAAAAGGATAGCTTCCATGTTTTCGGGAAGTCAGGAAATGTCTGCACTGGAAGCAGTGTACACTTGCTTAGGTATGAAGCAAAGCAATACGTCAACTGGGTATACATTAATAAACACCAGCCACCCGGATAAAAGAACTAGAATGTTGAAGCCATTAGCAGTAAGAGAAGAAATGGATCCACAATATGATGATACTTTCTATGATGGCCTCATTGAATACTATTCGTCAAGACCTTATAGTCTTGAAGATATAACTTTGGCTGAATTTGGAGCCAATTATGAAATTAGTGGTAAAAAAACCTGCCAAGAACAATTCAGAGTTGGACACTGATATTGAAGAAGAAACCGCTCATTCGATTGACTCCACGCTAATCGGAAAACCGAACAAATGTATACATAAACTTAAAATCAGAAAAATTATACGGTATGTACTGTTTAATGTGGATAAAAATGAACAAGACTTTTACAGAGAAAATGGTATGCTATTTTTACCATGGCGCGACGAAACAGTTGATTTGCTAAATATTAACTGTAAACAAGTATATGAAACACACATTGATCGGACAAAAGACTTGTACCAACAGTTTAATAAAGTCAATAGTGAAAAAAATAAAACAGTTTATATTTTTATTTTATTTTTTATAATAGTATATTTTTAAAGTATTTCATATTATTATTAACTATGGTGACAAGATTTCGCAGCGTCGTCATTCGAACAACGACGACGACGACGACGACAACACCAACGAAGAGTATTCACAAATCGTTATCGCACCAATGTGTTCAATCGACGATCATTATAACGGTCAATCAATGTACGTATGTCGTGGACGTAGATTTTCACGCGGACGACGGACATAGAGCATCATCGTTGTATTCAATACCGCTGAATAAATTGGAAAAAATTTGTTTGTTGAAACCGTAACTGAAATAGCATTAAAGATTGAGAAATTATTGAAGACGAATATTCCGATAAAAATGTCTGCGGATGATGTTCAGAATCATGAAGCAGTTACACAGTGCAACCTCTGTCGAATCAAGTTCACATCACCCACAGAAATACAGCATCGTAAGACAGCTGACCATTGCCATCTCTCAGGGAAATATCGTCAAGCTCTATGCAATACGTGCAATCAAAAACTTAAAACACCTGTTTTCGTACCATGCTACTTCCACAACTTATCGAACTACGACGCGCACCTGATAGTTACGGAACTTGGTCATGACACCCAAGCCATTACAGTAATACCAAACAGTGAGTTAAAATATATATCGTTCTCTAAATACGTGTCAAATAAATTCACAATCCGCTTCATCGACACTTTTCGGCAGGGCCGTAGCAACCGAATATTGCGCCCGGGGCGAAACTTCAAAATGCGCCCTTAAGTATTTTAATTTATAAAAAAACTAAACACTGTATAATATTTATAAACGCAATATAAATAATGATTTTGCCTTATAATTATGTAAGCGTATGTTAACTTTATTTAAATCAATAACTTATTAAAATATAAATATACATAATTATTATAAGAACATTGATGTAACATAATAAATAATAATATTATTTTTACTTATAAGTAACATTTAAATTGCAATTTTTCTAGCTTTTTTCCCAGCAAAGTCTTCAATAAGTTTGTTTATATCTAAAGTATTTACCACTGTATGTTCAATAGATAAAATAGCCATATCAGATATTCGATCTTGTCCCATAGTCGACCTCAAATAGTTTTTTATGAGCTTTAACTTACTGAATGATCTTTCACACGTCGCCACAGTTATTGGCAAAGTCAAAAATATGCGTAAAGCTATTTCGACATTTGGATATTCAGCACGCAAAGAATATGTTGTAATTAATTGTAGTAGGGCTAAAGGTGTTGCGGCTCTTAAGTCAGGTAAAAGAGAAAATGCTTGAGACTTAAAATCTTTTATTTCAGAGATAAAATCGGAAGAATTTAGATCGGTTTCATACTTCAGAGATAAGTCAGCTGCACATTTTTGTATATAGTCCATAGAGTGGTCCGTCAAGCTACTACCATACAAAAATCCAAAATTTTCATTAATTTCTGACATATTTTCGAATCGATTGCTTAACTCTGTAAGAATTCGATCATAAACTTCAAAAATATCTTTTTTAAATTCATTCTGTTGAGATAAAACTTGCACATTATCTTCAATTATCTCGAAATCTAATTTTTTCACTTTCCTCTTTCGCTTATCAGAAAAATTTGCTTTAATACCGAGATCATTTGCAATCACTTTACCGAATTCAATTGTTTTTTCAATTCCTTCATTTCGCATTGTTTGTACTGATAAGATTAAACCTTTAACCATTTTGGTTGCGCTATCAATCGTTAAACTTTTCTTTTGTAAAGCTAAATTAACGCGATTAATTGTTGTTAATATTTCATTCCACAAATCCAGTAGGCAAAAAAAATTAAAATCAAGATGTTTCAAAAGATTTGTTGCTCCAAGAATTACCTCTTTAGGTAACTTTGGGTTTTCTGACATTTCTTTTAGAACATTATATACATTTTTTAAATTACGTTTAAGTGCTGATACAGAATCTTGTTTTGCAGACCACCGCGTGGCACTAGTACATTTTAATGAAATATTAATACATTTCATTAAAGTTGTCCATCTGCTTGTTGAGGATGAAAAAAAGTTAAAAATTTGTTGGACTGTGTCAAAGAACGTTATCATACGTACACATACTTTAGCGGCATCATTGCCAACTAAATTCAAGCTATGAGCATTACATGGTACATATACAGCTAAATTATTAATTTGCATAATACGTGTTTTTACACCTTTATACTTTCCAGACATGTTGGCAGCATTGTCATAACTCTGTCCTCTACAATTGCTTAGTTTTAAATCATCTTTATTTAATTTTTCTATGATTTCTAAAGATAATCCTTCGCCAGTTTTTTCATGACTTTCCATAAAGTCTATAAAAGTTTCTTCAACTGAAACAGTGCCGTTAGAAATGTACACGTATCTTAAAACCTGGGACATTTGCTCTTTGTGAGACACATCAGGTGTACAATCAAACATAATTGAATAATATTTTGATTCTTTAACACGATTTAACAGTTTTTCCCTAGTTGATTTTCCAAGAAGTGAAATTATTTCGTTTTGAATTTGAGGAGAAAAATAGCTGATAACATTATTCTTAGCGTTTACTTCTTCAATATGCTTTGCCAAAATTGGATTATAATGACTTAACAATTCAAGTGTACTCAAAAATATACCACAATTAGGTTTTCCAATTCGTTCATCAGTACCTCTAAGAGCGAGATTATTTTTCGCACAAAATAAAATAACGTCAAACAAAATTTTTAAAATAGCTTTCCATTTTTCTTTTTCAGATTTTATTGCATTCTGTAAAGTGCAATCAATGGTCTTGCCACCATGAAGTCTTTTTTCAAATTCCTTCCATTTAAATACACTCTCTTTGTGTGAAGGACTTTTCTCGTGATCCGAAATTTTCGGATTTAATTTTTTCCAATTGTTGAATCCCAAAGAAATGCTTGAAAAATATTGAGTATTTTCAATAGAAAAAATAACACATGGAAAACAAAACAATACATTTTTTTGTTTACTATAAAGTAACCAAGTACGTCTTACTTCTTCACCATTTGGTAAAGTCCTGAAAAGCCATTTTTCATGAAAATGTCTACCAGTTTCATCAAGTGGAAAATTGTAGTTTTTGTAAGTTTCTAACTTTGGACCGTGTTCTACTATGAATGTACGAAATTTATCATTGATTAATGGCCAAGTAACTGGATCTTCGAAATCAAAATTTTCTGACAATTTAATTTCACATGGTGATTCTAGGAGTGAAATAAGAGGAGTAGGTTCAGGTTGTGATATTGCATCAGATAAAGATTGAATGTCATTATTATCATCGATTTGTTTAGTGGCGGGATTTAAAAATATAACTTCAGAAGTTTTGTTTTGAACTTCAACTTCCAAATCTAAATTTTTTTTTTGTTTTGGGTCTTTGATATTATGAGGATAGTCCACAAGTGTTTGAAGTTTTTCTACTTGATTTTCTTCTAGTTCTACTAATTTAGAAGAAATAGGTAAAGAAATATGATTATCTGGGTCTAAGTGGTTTAATGGTAGATCTACTTTAGGTTTAGATAGCCAGGTATTCATTGTTTTTGAAAGTGATTCTTGAGTTTCTTTTTTTTTTTCTCTTAATTTTTTGAAAGCTGCACCGGATAATTTTGGAGCCATATTTAAATGTTTTTGGACCCTTTTTTAAAAATTACACAGCTATTAATATTTAAAAGTAACGATTTCTTAATTATGAAGACTTAACAAATTGTTGTGAAAAAAAAGTAGCTATAACCCGGGCAAGTAGACGAATCTAAAGTTTGAAGTATTCTCAAATGATTAATTATTATCGCTCAAGTCCAAATTCTACACCAATTTGTTATTTAACTTGTGGAAAAGTTGTAAAAAAAATATCAGTGTCAAAATTTGTTTTTAAACCAATTTTTTTTTAAGTAAAAAAAACAAAATTCGTCATCTTACCCATGTGCTGGAGTAAGTTGACATTTCCCCGGGGTAAGAAGATATAAATAAATAAAACAAATTTAATATTTTATATAATAATATTTTAACAACTTATATTATTAAATGTATTAACATAATTTTGAAATTTGTACCCGTCGGGAGCATACAGTTTTAGTACGCGCGCCCAGTGACCGAAATACTTCGTAACGCACTAACGCTACTTACACACCGATCGACCTGTTAATTATTGGGTATGGTGTCGATGTGTAATGGTGTAAATACTAAATATCTCGAATAAACTGTATGGAAAAAGTTCACAACAACAAATAGATAATACAGAAAACAATAGATTACGGCCCTTTTACCAATACCATAAATAAATAATAAATATACAGCTATTTGAGCTGTTGAGAAAAAGTAATAATAAATAAATGTATTAAATAAACTCACAATTTGGCTATCCTTGCTGGCCACCTGCTGCTAATATAAAATATTAAAATATAATTAACAGTGATCTACTGCGGCCACGATATTATAATTAATAATTTGTAAAAAATATTACGTTTAACACGGGAAATAGCGCCCAACAAAGATAATATTACAAAAAAAAGTACGTAAACGAGACGATTTGACGACGAATAATAAATAAATACTGGCAATTGGCGCGCTCGCGCATATCGTATATGATTAAAAATAATAATAAATACTTGTAAACATTGCGACGGACGCATCGATTCGCAATCACGTAATCACGTGACATAATCATAACAATATTAATAATAAATAATAATAGATATATTATAAGATGTATAAGAAATAAGAATAGATGAAATGCTCGGCGACAACGCAAACATAATTGGTAATTCCACATTTCCATAAAATAGTAATTATTTTTAATCAATTATTAAGAATTATTTCTTAAGTGTAAGGTCTTCCTGTACATTGATAGATTGTATTTACTAACTATTATTGGTTTTATACTTTTATATAAAATATATAATAATTATTAGATATTATTTTCAACTATGCTTCAATTAATATACCTCAAGGACGTTGAAGTTTTTGTAAATAAAATATACAACCCTGACCGCTGTAATTTTTAACATAAAATTAAAATTTATAATTTTTGCGCCCTCCCAGGAATTGCGCCCGGGGCGTAGGCACCTCTTGCCCCCCCCCCTTGCTACGGCCCTGCTTTTCGGTTTATGGCGTCAGGACTGTCAAATCTAGCTAAAAATCTTGTGACACCGGGTCTGGAGTACTTCAGAGAGACCGCTAGAGTTTTTGATGAAGTCGATATGCCACTCGTTACTCAGAAGGGGGTGTACCCGTACGAGTACACGGATAGTTGGAAGAGGCTGGATGAAAAAGACTACCGAGGAAGAGAGAATTTTATAGTACGTTAAACGAGTCGGGAATAAAGGAGGAGGAATTTGATCACGCGAAGGAGGTCTGGGACCACTTCGGTTGCAAGACGTTGGGCGAGTACAGCGATTTATATTTAAAAATCGACGTTTTATTGTTGGCGGACGTCTTTGACAATTTTCGTGATGTCTGTATGAAGATATACAATTTGGACGCAACACACTACTTCACCGCACCCGAGTTGAGCTTTGACGCAATGTTGAAATATACAGGTCAAAAGTTGCAGCTGCTGTCTGATTATGACATGTTGTTAATGTTTGAGAATGGTTAGTATATCAATATTATTTAAAAAAAAAATATATATAATAATCTTATATATTTGTATAGGTATTCGTGGTGGATTGGTACAGGCAAGCATGAGGCACGCGAAGGGGAATAATATAAAGACCCCAGACTATGACTAGACTAAGGATAAATCATGGTTGATATATCAGGACTGTCAACATATTTGATTTTTAATTTTTTCAAACCTAAACTTTAAACTATAAACTTTATAGGTAATAATCTCTATGGATGGGCTATGAGTGAGTACATGCCATACGGTGACTTCAACTGGGTTGAATCCTACTTGAACGGGTTGAGTGAGATGTCACCAATGTCAGATAAGGGGCGGGTATACGAGTATATAGTACAAAGGCAACGGCAGCGCGAAAAATCAACAACGACAACCGGAATTCGATGTCATTGAAGGCGAGTTGGAAGTACTCATGTACACTTATTGGACTATGGAGACCGTTGACTTTTGACATACAATGAACTCGTTGATAGAAGCGTTCAGAAAAAAATGCTATTTCATTTGTTTGCCGACATTTATCGAACTAGCCACAAGGCGGACAACAACAAACGCGTGGCTGATTAATACTACGAAAAATTCGGCAAACTTTTGCAAAATCATGCTAATTTTGTACACGAAAAAAACCACGTGTCTACGAAAAGTGTAGCGTTCGTCAAAAGCAACATTACATTATTAATCGTATCTCTGCTACTGACTACGTATCGTTTGTTGGGTAGTTGAGTATATTTCATTGAATACAAATTTGAGGAAGAACTCAAAAAATACGTCTTGTATAGATAATATCAATGACTTGATATTGTCAAAAGCAAAGAATTACGATGAACTTTGTCGTATAATTGTTACGCGTATCGATGAATGCATTAAACCGCCAATATTATTTAATAATAACAAAAAACTTATCTGTAGAATTACCTAAGATGACAAAGAATAATAATTTTAGTTCGTTGAATATATTGTTGCTATAGAATCGTTTTAAAAAACGTCTTTATGTGTTTAAATTTTTTTTTTGTAAGTAAATTATCCGATTTAATATTGTTATATGTTTTTTATTATTATATTATATAGAATTAATCGATAAGACTGCATAGCGACGACGAGCATTACGCGATTTTTTTCATTTGTTTACGAGACTGTATTTATATCTAACTATAGACTGTTATATTATTTTTTATCTTATTTATAAATGATGTATAATAGATTATTATTATTTATTATACACAACTGTGTTTAAATTTTGATTTTTGATGATTTATATAATTTATTCTGAAAAATCTAGATATTATTCATAATACGAACTTGTTGTTAAAACAAAGACTTTCATATAGTATAAAATATGTAGAGGGGCCTATTCTCAAATCAATCGAAAAGGGTTTTCAATCAAAAGTTGGTCGAAAGCGAATATATTTACGACCAATTCAAAAATCCGTATTCTCAAACAGTTTTCGATCGACGTTTCGACCGTTGTATTCGATTTCTCGTTTCGACTACTGTTTACCAATCGTAAACTTGATTTCGACTGATAGTATACTTTAACAGTAGCTACAGCTAGTGTTTAAGAAACGATTTACCTGTACAATTTACAACGGTATTGACCGATTTGTTATTTGTTGTTTGTTTTCTTTCAAAGTACTTATAGGTACCTGTGTGTAAAATTACACATTATTGATCATGGCTAATGACTATGTAGATTTTATTATAATGCAACATAATTTAATGCAAAATATCAAATATGGTATTAAATAATCTACCATTGGATAATGAAGTTCGGCGTTTTATGATGCCAGAGGATACATTTAATGGTAAGTTAAATATGAAATCGAATTTAGTTTATTTCATGATTGATCAATACATTAAGTAATTACTAATTAATAAACTAAGTAAGTAAGTAGGTACTCCTTAAATATAGGTGGTACTTACAGATGTCCTATCAACACTTGTCTTGTTTGGTTATATTTCAAAATATTTCCATGCTCCTAATAATAAATGTTAATCGTAACTACAAAAATATTATTAATATTAAATGTGATTTTATTAAACCTTTTTGTAGAAAAATGTAATTAAAAATGTTGAGAATTCAATTCTAAACACTCATATAATTAATAATAAATAATCAGATTTTACTTAATTTCAGAACAACCTAGGTACATATCAAGAAAATCTGAATACTGATAATGACAATGTGTGGAATTTTCTTAACTCCAGAGTCACCAATGTCCTATCGCAGACAACAACAACAAGTAGTGCTATATCCTTGATGGGACAGTACTTAAGTATGCCTCATCAAGACTTAAAAGTTAAAATGCAATGTTGCTGTATTTTGGAACGACCACAAAACTGTATTATAAGCACTTAGTGACATTGCATTGAAATACTATATTATTCCAGCAACTTCAGTGCCGGCCGAGAGAATTTTTTCTAAAGTTGGGAAAATATTAAGCGCTCGGCGTAATAGGTTATTGCCTCAAAATGTCGATAAGTTAATTTTTTTAAACAAAAATATGGAAGTTTTTTTTAATTTTAGGAACAAGTATGTGCCAAGGTAATGTAGTTATTTATTTTATTGTGGTAAAAAATAAAAATATACAGTATAATTTATACTTCGAAATTAAAAACCAAAATACATTTTGTTGTAGTTTGAAAATATTAATTTTTTTATTTTGCAGATAATATTCAACTGGTTTGAAGATTGAATATATACCTCTGGAAGGTCATATAAGGGTATATCGGTGGTTATAATTTTTATTTAAAAATATGTCGAACAAGGTTTAAGTTGACATATAAATTTGCAATTTTAAGCTAATATATTTATAGCTGTGGTGAGTATGAAATATGGGGTGAACAATGACAGACTGCTTGTGGCCCATCATCCTGCATACAAGTTTTTTAACTTGTATTAATGTCATTAAACCTAGTACTGCACATATCTATTTTAATAATTGTAAGTTGTAACTTAAGAATCCCTTGAAACTTTGATAATACCCTATTAAAAAAGTAAAAT